AAAAAAAAAAAAAAAAAAAAAAATAATCCTCTCTCCCAATTAGCTAACACAAGTGACACGCACTTAAGTGGGGGATGTACAGAGGGGGGAAACATGTCTCTCTAAGGCTGAGGCTGAAACAAGGCCCTTAACATTTATTATTAACATAATGCTGTGGGTGTCCGAGGTAACAGCAGCACAGTAGTCCTGTGTCACTGTGGACCTGAACACAAAGAGCGAGCCACCCCTCAGGGGCTACAGATCCCCCACTAACAAAGAGACCATGCAAGAGACAGGAGAGAACCACGGGCCTGCCCTGATGTGCGTGGAAGCACAAAGAAACACCTTCACGTCTAGGCTGGGTGTCACTTCTGTAAGCCTCATAAGAGACCCATTTGGTTAGATGACAGGTGTGACACGTGAAGTGTAGCACATCGGATACCTTTCGATCACGTTCTACTTCACACACCTGTACTCCGGCACCAAGGCGGGTGCCCAGATGGAGGAGCGCCCAGGGCTTAGGACTCGAGCGCAGTGACTGCAGGGTTCACAGGAGAAATGGGAGTGGGGGTGGGACAGCCCCACAGTCAGTCCTCAACAAGCTTTTATCGTTGCACACGAACGAAGCCCGGAGTCCACAAAACGGACGGTTCTAAGAACAGGCACCACCCGTGGCTGCAATTCTGCTCATTAAAAATAAGGCTAAATCTAGTCTAAGTCAATATGTATTCAACTGCACACTTAACAGGAAAATCTTACTCCTTTTAAAGGTAATAGCATTTTCTAAATTCATACTTCAAAGGCATCCTGGAGATAATAATCGACTCACAGGCTCACAGAAACTAATAAACCCAATCTGCTTTCTAATTGCATCTAGCATAACGAAGCATTAATCAAAGACTCACGTACAATGTGTTTACTCAGGTACTGTACCATGGCATTACTGGTTATGAACTGCTACCTGGGGTGAGGAACCCCAACACACTGGCACTGCAGCCCTCACCCACCTGACTCCGCCAAGCAGGCTGACTAGTAGTGGTTTCTGGACTGAGTCTGTCACATGGAGGTTCTGTAAGCAGCTTCAGGCATGCCCAGAACAGTGGTCAGCCTGCCTGCTAGGTCAGCATTTAAAATGAACCGTTTGGTCAAAAAACCCTGAATTTCCCCCCTTTGCAGATCTCTAGGTCCTGCAGAACAGACGTATTATATACTAACAAAAAAACTGGTTCCCACAATACACACTAAAACCCAATTTCCCATTATTCCAGGCTTATGGGTCTCTCTTGCTGTGCCAGAATGGTAACACCTATTTAATGACGTTTTCGCTGCAGGTCAGTGTCACATGAATCAAGACTGACCCATTCTCCTTGATCCTGGCCAGCCACCTGGGACCTGAGCCATGCCCCTCCCAAGGGCCCTGGTCACAAGGCAGAGAAGGACAGACGGGGGTGCAGCGTGCAAATGTGAAGGCAGCCACAGCAGGCTCTCATGACACAGGCTGGGGACATGCCACAGCCACAGCAGGGACATCTTGGCACCGCCCTCTGGGAAGGCCAGCCGACTCCAATTCTAAGGCCAATGCCAAAGTTCTCTGGGATCAGCTCTCTTCCTCAGCAGGTTTCTCACCTACTTCTAGCAGACACGAAATCCACTGCTCCAGAGAGGAAACCAAGTGACCTTCCTACCCCCTGAATGCCAAGTGACAAGCTGGGCCTAGGTCTGAGAAAGCTCATTTGTTAACTGTGCTGACGTTTAAACTAAGCTGCAGCATTCAAAGGCTGTTACGCTGTATTGTGTCATTTGAACAGGCAATGTACAGTCATACCACCCAATCACATGGGCACAACTGCATACACTTTAGTATTTTGGAAATTCAATTACTTACGCCTTTTTAATATCCTCAGCCGAGGCATGTCTCTGCACGCCCAGGACTTCATAGTAATCCACCATGTTTTAACAGGCTGCTGGAATGAGCCCTGAAATCAGAAATCCACATTAGCGACAAGATTCAGGGCTGGGTTCGACATGGGGGCAGTGACAGAGCAACAGGAGAGGGGACGCCAGCTCACTTCAGTGCTGACCACCACCAGCCTGCCGGTCTGGGGCCTGGTCTGGGAACACATTCTGGACTTGTGCCCTAAGACCCTTCTTGATATAGAATAAAAGCTCTGAAGCAGGTTGTATTATTATAATAATAGCCTAAACTAAATAAAATTACCAGGTGACTCTGAGGCAGAGGCTCAGTTCCCACCTGACCACCAGCTGGCAGGCCCTTGGTAGCTCCCAGTCTGACCCAGGCCATGCTTGGAGCTTCAGGTACCACCTCCACTTGGGGCATCCCCGTGGCAGGCAGTGCGCAAGGCTGCAGGCCACCAGGACACACTGCCGCTGCCCTGAGGGAGCCGCCCGGGGCCACAGCCTCCTCACAGCAGGCAGCCCTCCCACACAGCCCCTGGAGAAAGGGAACGCATTTGACTGCAGGACTGTCAGTACAACACCCCTCTGGCTTCTCACTCCCATCCACCCACTCAACAACGTGCACGTGCCAGAGCGGCTGCCAGCACCAGGCAGAAGGCATCCCTGCAGGTGACGCGTCAGCCGCAGAGAAGCTGGTAGCCGGCAAGTCCTCAGGGCAGGACAGGGAGAACGCGTTCTGTTTCTACCACCTCTAAAGGGTTTTGCCTTAGGCCCCACACGTCAGAAAGGAACTACACACTTCAAGATGTGAACCTAACGAGTTCACGTCTTTACATCTGACTGGCTGTACCGCCTCCTTACACCGGTGAGCACCCACCCGCGCAGACAACCCCCCCCCCCAGCAGCACTGAACCACCTCACCCAGCGGCTTCCATCAGGCGACGCCTCCTTTAGCCTTCCCAGAAACTCTAGTGTTAATTTTCCCAACAAATATTCTGACTTTAAACAGTTCATAGCTTCCTAAGGTCATGTTGCTGAAGCTGAACAGCATAGTTGGTAGTGTCACAATGAGGAAGTATTCCACTTCTCAAACAAGACACACAGGCATATTGTGTTTTTACTTCCCATGGCTGGGGAGCCGCCCACGGAGAGGCGCCTCACATTATGAGCACACTCAGCATGCCTGCCCCCCACCATCCAATGTTCACAGGGGACTCCGTGTGCAGGGTCAGGAAGCACACAGAGGAAATCTGCTTCCTATCAGTACAGGGACAACACAAGAAAAACAAAACTATCACAGGATGATCTAAACTAGAACCCCCTTCTCTTATCACCTTGCAACAGAAATTATTAGGTGAAATCCAATAAAGAGATGTAAAGAGACAACTGAACTCTCCGGAAGGAAGAGGCTGAAGCACCAGAAACCTCCAGGGACCTGCGCCAGGAGGGGGAGAGGCTGTGCTGCAGGTGGAGGATGAGGGCTGCCTTCCCGGGACGGGACTCACTTCTGAGGCACAGGAAACCAGTGGCTTCAATGACTCCCAAAAAGACTTTGGCTCCTCGAAGGGCTGTTAATTACAAGAAAGCAGAACAACTCTTTCCAGTGAACTGCAAAGAGGAGGCAAAGAGGCTCCCCTGAGAATGTGAAGCCAGCGGCCTCAGACCCACAGAATGGATTCTCACTCACTTCATTAAACCTCGATGCTCTGAGCTCTCCACGACTATCAAACGTGATCCCCGGGTGCAGGGCACTACAGCTGAGCTGGAGAAATAAGTATCTCCACAACCCAGGTCACAAAGAATCCAGCAGAAAATATAATCCCTGCTGAAGAGGAGCTGACAACTGCATTCCAATCAAGGAAAGCATCAGGATGAGTAAGAGAACACCTCCAAGAATCTAAAAAATAACTGAAAGGCAACACAAAGTAAAGTTCTCATCAAATAATTCCAAACACAAAAGGAAACCACAGTGGGGTGAGGGTTGGGGGCAATGGCTCTTCTGGAAGTGATTCTAACAGTATTACTAACATGGCCGTAGAAATTTAGACAGATTAAATAGAGCGGAAGAGAGTTAGGAATGCGGAAGTGTGATCTGAGGAATGATCCAGGGAAGTACAAAGACCTGGACATAGAGTAAGAAGAGAAAACATACATCTAAAGATAAGCCAGGGACCAAGTTCAAAGAACAGGTGATTCTGAAACTAGCTACTAATGTGCAAAACTGCTGACATACAACAGGGTCGACTCCTCCTGTCCCAGCTTGACCCACATGTGGTTGGCGGAAGCACTCACAGTTAAGGTGTATGACATATTTTGAGATATATATACATTGTCAAGTGATTACAATCAAACTAATGACCTCAAAAGGATACCATTTCCTTGCTATACTGAGAACTCTTTTAACATCTACTCTTGGCAAATTTCAAGTACACGGTATGTTATTATTAACGCAGCCACCACGTTGTACACCAGGTCTCCATAGCTTGCTTTACAGATAAAGCTGGTGCCCACTGACAAACATCTCCCCATTCCCCACACCCTCAAGTTAACCTCTCTTCCAGTCTCGGTTCCCATGAGTCCGACTTCCTTAGACTCCTCCTGTGAGTAAAGTCAGGCAGCACTTATCAGTCTCTGCGTGGGTTTTCTCTCACTCAGAATAGTGTCCTGGTTCACCCGTATTACTGCAAATAGCAGAGTTTCCCTCTTTTAGGCTGAGTACTATTTCACTCTATGGAAGGAATATTCCATTGATTTTCAGATTCTTTCATTATTTGGGGAGCAGGAAAATATAATGCTGCTAAAATGTAAGGATAAACAAACACTGACAGAACACAAACATGAAGGCATTATGCAAATCAAAGTTAAGTCAGAGAAAAAATTAGGACTGTAAGATCTCACTCACGTGTGGGATCAACAAAGGCCAAAAAACAGGAGAATGGTAGTCACCAGAGGCTGGGGGTTGGAGCCATTGAGGACATTTTGCTCAGAGGGCACAGACTTGCAGTTAGAAGACAATTAAGTTCTGGAGATCTAACATACAGTAGAGTGATTATCATCGGTAGTACTGATTATATACTTACGAGCTGCTACAAGACCAGTTTTTGAATGTTAAGATGAGGATGTGTTAATGTGCATGATAATCATGTTGCACTGTATCTCAAATACACAGCATCTCAATTTTTTTTATTAAACTTTAAACAAGAAAAACAAAATGCAATCTTACCAATTGAGAGGGAGAGGCACACAGGGATCTTTTAAGAAAAGTGTTAAGACAGGATGTAAAAACAATTAATTTAAACACAGCAGGTACAACTGTAAGTGTTCTACAAACTCATTAATTCAAATGCTTCAGTAAAAACAACTGTAAATGAGCAAAGATCAAAGATATTCTAAAACTGGATTTTTTTGTTTTGTTTTTCCAGCTTTATTGAAATACAACTGACATATATCACAGTCGATTGTATTGTAAGGAAGTTTAGGCATCATGTACACTGCGCACGTAATTCCATTAGAACTAAATTTAAAAAAAAAAGAACCACACTGTTTCCCAGAGACAAAAATTCAAACTCACGGGGCAGGAAAGATGCACAGGGCAAACATTAAGAAAGCCGGAAGAGCAGCGAGACCCTCAGAGGGACGCAGGACCAGAAGCATCGCCAGGTCAACAGCTTCACAAGGATAATGGCCTCTAAGTGTAGCCTCAAACATCCCCATCAGCAATGACATTGACTGTGAAAAGGAAACATTCAGGACGCCAGGGGCTGAGGGCGAAGGGAGAGTTACAGTGGGACGGACAGGTTCCCTGTGGGAGGGTGACAGCCCGGAGAGGACAGAAGCACGGGCGCATGCCTCGGTGCCTGGACTCGATGTCACTACGCGGCACATGCAAAAATGGTTAACAGATTAGGTTTTATGTTATGTAAAAACTCAAGTCATGTTAAGATTTATAACTTTCTTAAAGTTTTATCATATGAAATTTTATGTTACTTACATGTTAAGTTTCCTAACTACTACTTTTTAAAAGACAGAGCTACATCATATGAAGCACAAAGTTAAGCTTGTAAGATTTGGGTGCATTTAACAAACTTGGTGTAATGGACATAAAACAGCACCCTGCAGCGAACAATTAGAAAATCCATGTTCTTACCAAGCATATGCTCATGTGGTCAAGCAAAACTTCAAGACTTAAGTTTCAGAATACTTAAAAAAACAGAATAAAAATAGACAACAGTATCACAAAACCCCAAAGAAACAACTATGGAAACACTTTTTAAGAAAGCCCCAAGGTCAAAGAAACCATAGAAGAAATGAGGATGTATTTAAATTAGGTAAGTATTTACATTAGATGTACAGGAGCCACAAGTCAACTTGATCAACTGACTAAAGTGGAATTTAGAAAGGAGTATGTAACTTCAAACACCGTAATAAAAGTACTAGATATTTGAAGGTTAAGAATTCAAAAAGGACAGACTACAAGATTTGGCATTTAGAATACCAAAATACATTCTTTTGTCCAATAAATTTCCCACCTTTTAAAATTACAAATTAGGGAGAGAAAACTATGCCTACTATTTCCAACTCCTCTAATTTATTATTAAAATCCAAATAGCAGTGACAGATACATTCCAAAGCAAAGATAACAAACTATGTAGCTGAGGGGAACGGAGTTGTTCACTGTAGTCTTTTCGATACTGTTTGAGTATGTTGAACATAAAAGTACCAGGGAATTTGACTGAAATGAAATCAGGTACAAGATATAGGAGCAAGCACCCCATCATAAGAGGTTTCCCCACTGGTACTTACAACAACCGCACCCCGGCCACCGTGAGAGCAGCAGGCTCAGCCTGGAAAGGACCCCCACAGCAGAGGCAGCCGAACCCATGGTCACGGGGCACAGCAACCACGCATCTTCAGGAACTGCAACCTGACTGATGGCCACCCCAACATAGCCAGAGCTACCAGAAGGCAGCAGAAAGACCAGCATCCTGTCACCTGTTCCAAAGGGCTGATAATTAACTATGCAAGGTCATTCTCACTTCTGAGCTCCAGCAGTGCAAAC